ACCGGATAAATGACTACCCACTGGATAGCGCAATTGATTTCCCTAGCACCTATCCTTTGGATAGTGATTTATCCGGTGGATAGCGTTATCCAACCTTTGAACAAAAGGGGCCAGAAGGCTAAATCACCCTTGCCCCTTCTACTTTAAGATGGACACCCCAAAGGTGGACGCCTCTGAAAATCCTGAAATGTTTTTGACAAGGCAGTCGCGTGTTATCCGAAACAGCTGTAACAGACTTGTCGCCAATCTGGCTATTTATTTGTTTTGGGAGCTAGTCAGGGTTACAGTTTTCCAAGAGAAAAGCCCTGGGGTTGAAAGTTGATTAATATTACGTCGCTCAAGGGTGAAGGTGCATACGATTGCCGGAGTCATGAAACGGAAGGAGAACAAGTAAGGGTGTTGGACTGGGTCACTGACTAGACTTCGCCAAGTACATTGGAACTGCGCAAGTGCATTTTGAAATTTCAATCAGGCTTCGGTTTAGACAGTGAAATTCGTGAACCAACTAATAGTGACTGGTGCAGATGATTTACAGAAAAGATAACAGCACTTGCTGGTAGAAGAGTGAACGACAAATGAATGAAGAACTTAGTTTCGATCTAGCTAGCGTCTTACTCTATAGCCTTCAATGCCGCAAATATTTGCGACCACCTCTCTCTTGCGTTTGTTTACCAGTAACCGGCACACCAAATTATTCGGACCCTCATTCATAAGCATAAAAAAGAAAATCTCTGGCCCATCTGCTAGCTCCTTTCTTTTTCTTTTCCCCGGTATTTTTTTTTATCATTTCCTTAATCAGTTATTATTTTCTTGTGCCCGTGGCTCGAAAAATGGACTAGATGCTTAGAGGGTCTCAATGGGGTGGTGCCTTTTACGGTTATCGGCTAAAATTTTGGCTCTTTTACGGCTATCGGTTAATTTTTTTCAGTCACGGTTAACAAAAAAGTTAAAAATTAACTTCTTTTGTTTCAAAAAGTCAAATATTAATTAACCTGTATTTTTTGTATCTTTAAAGCAAATTAAAATAAAGGTCTTCGGATCATATCCGGATGAAATAAGCTATTCTTTTGAAAAATTTTATCATTTGATACATCGTACTTTTAATAAAGTACTATTCCACTTCTTAATAATAATAATAATAATAATAATAA